ATTATATATATATATATATATTTTATAACTACTAACACCTAAGTCGAACCTAATACCAATTTTTTGCAATCATCATCCTCTCGATGGATCTGCTGAAAAATATAGACAATGTTTATAGAACTGCCTTTAAATTCAGTGCTCATTAATCAAGCACTTAAAAATAAATGCTGTGTAGAATATGAATTTGAATATGGTTTACTCTATGTTTTGGTTTTTCTCTCATTCAATTTAATGGTCTGAATCCCGGTTCGTGTTTTTCTAACTATTGCTCTATAGTTAAGGTAAAATTATTTATAGTTTTTGAACATTTTTTTATTGTTAGTGGATAAATCCATTTTTTTTTATTCCAGATATAAGCAACGCAAAAAAAGATCCAGAAAGAGAAAACAAGTAATCATGTACAAGTAGATTGATGTTAACTTATTGTATTTTAAAAATGATTATATTTTGAGAAACTCCTCTTCAGAATAAATATTTATTAAACACATTTTATTTATGCTGTTAAAATTTTTTGTACAAATTGTTGAAGCTTGGTTTAATTGTTCGGTTAAACCATAGTATCATGGAAGAATTTCTTTCCAATGCGTTTCATCTTAGAGACAAAATTAGATACAAATTGAAAAAAAATATTTATGTTATATTTGGGTTTTTTTCAAACTTTGTTTCAATGTATTTCTTTAAAGAGAAAAAAGTAAAGTACATATTTGTTCTCTAGCATTAAAGATTCTCTTCCTTACGGAAAATACATACACATAAGAGATTTTGTTGCAAAAAGAAGATTTTCTGACACAAAAGAAATTATCTTGCAGAACAGAAGATCTTCTACTCAAAATAGATTCTTATTCAATAAAAATTCTCTCATATAATATAGATGCTCTTGCACAAAAGATTTTCTCCCGCTTAAAAAAGACAATCTTGCACAAAATATATATCTCATGTAATAGAAATACTCTAACAAAAAATATATATCTTCTAATTTAAAAAGAATCCTTAGACAAAAAGATTGTCTTACAGAAAAAAATTACTCGAGTATTAGAGAATCTCTTGTTGTTGTTGTTTCTAATGCGACTTGCTACACAGGCAAGCCTGCTATGTGAAACCGAGCAAGTTTAAGCCAGAGTGTGCGCTTCTTGTTTTTCAGAGGCGCCATCCTATGGCTAAGAATTCTACTTTAGCCACACGCACGTCACAGCCCATTTTATAGGGCGGTCCCATTCACACATCCATTCATTCATCCTCAGATCGTAATTTTGACCTCAATCGGAGAACGATCGATCTCCAGTCCAGTACCCCTAGAGGTACTGATTTGTTACGGGAGCATGGAGGACTTTTGCGACTCGACAGCAGTCACTTTACTACACGGGGAGTTTTCGGCCGGCGGGGTTCGAACCCACGAACTCTCGGACATGGACTCAACGCCCTACCGATCAAGCTATCCCAGCCTACAGAATCTCTTACATAAATGCATTAAAGATATTACAATAGAAGATTCTTGCAAAGGAAATTATATTATCTTATACAGAAGTAACTTTTTTGACTTTTAGATTCTTTTACATTATAAAAATATAAATTTCCATCAAAAGATTCTTACATCAAAACCTTCTTATATCAAAAGATTCTTATATTAAGACATTTTTACATAAAAAAAAATCTTTAACATGGATGGAGATATTATTTTAATTGAAATAAATTCGTGTGTCAAAGTGAATTTTCTTAAAATAACTTTAGCATATCAACTGATTTAGCTAAAATTCAAGGTTTTTTTTCCCTTTGTATATGAGTCGTCCAAACTGTTTTGAATTTTCAATCAAACGTAATATTTTGTTTAGATGCACGAATACAATAAAGTAGAAAATTGTTCAATTCGTTTTAAAAGTTTTCAAGATATAGCTATAAATACTCAATTAATTCTAAGATGTTCTAACTTTCGACTGCTCTCCTGCCTAAGCTTTTGGAATCATATTTTCCAGATTAAATCTTATCCCCATATTTACAGGGTTTAGAATTCAATATCGTCGGGGGAAAAAGTATTTTTTGTCGTATGTTTTTTGTTTCTAAGTTTTAATGTCTTTTACGTTATACAATACAAACTTTTTTGTGTTTGTTTTAGCTACTTAAAATAATATTGTCTGCTGTGATGAATTATCATTTGTAGGCCCTAAAACCTTACAGACTAGGTCTTAATACTAAAAAATCCAATATAAAATCCAAAGTTATTCACAGTGTTCACTTTTATGATACATTTTACTTCTATAGCAAAATCTCGTATCCAAACAAAATAAATTAGTTTTTCTTTGTAACTTAAAAACCACAAGCGTTGCTGAACTTGTCGCACATCTTTTAAAAAGAAAAGTTTCGTCGTTGAAAATCGTGCAGTCACCATTTCGTTCTGCATCAATTTTAGAAAATTAATGTTAACTTATTACTAGTTGTTTGATAAATATCTCGTTTAGAAATTTTGATTTACTCTAATGTCCTTATAAATAAGTTCCGAAAATATGCGTATTTTTAAGCAAAACCCCTAAAAAGAAGTAAGATTTTATTTGTGTCCATAATAAAATAACGTAGTCAGTAGTATTTTGAGTAGAGAAAGCATCACTATCATGACTGGCGAAAACATCACTTACCATCGTGAGTATTGAAAGCATCACATAGCTTCATGTGAGACAGCAACAATAGCACCATCAATAGAAGAGCATCAATAAGAATCTTAAGTGGTGAGATCTAGCATCATAAATGGGGGGAGCATCTTTTAGCATCATGAGTAACGGTAACGTCTCTTAGCATCATGAGTCGCGGAACCATTTTGAATAGTGGGACAAACACTAGTTCAGCAAGCAGCAAGTAGCATTATGAGAGGCAAAAGCATGATTTTGTATCATGAGTTGTGGGATCATCACTTAATACCATGAGTGTCGAGATCATCACCTATCATAAATTGAGAAAGCAATACTTTGAAGTATGAGGGGCAAGAGCATCACTTAGCATAATACTTTAAGAAAGCATCACATAGCATCATTAGCAGAGAAAATAATCACGAGAACCACACGTTTTACATAGTACATAAGTATAAACACTAATTTTTTCGTTTCACAAGCATTAAAATTCAAAGTAAGTATTGTTTACCTTTTGCTTGTATTACAAGCAAAAGGTAAACAAGGGAAAGGATCGTAGCACATAGTGCTGAAAGCAAGTATTGCATTTCGTTGCAAATAGTGAATTCAATTGATCCTTTTCAAAGCTATTCAAAAACTTAAATGGTTAGTTTCAGATTCATTAATCGCTGTTTCGTTGACGCATAGTCGGAATTCTTAAAAACAACAAAAAAATCGTTGCTTTTTCCATTTGTGATGTTAATTAGCAAAATTATTCTGAAATAAAGAGATTTAAAAAGTAATAATTGAAAAAAATAATTAAAGGTTTAGCTTTTTCAGACACTACCAGAAATGCAGAACCGCTATTGAAGAATGAAAGCTGAATTCGTAATTTTAATTTTCAACTAATCTGTTACTTTTAAAAGACATTGGCAATTGCTCTATTTGAAAATTTCTCAGTTATGAGAAACGAGCTTCATTTTTTGCTTCAAAAATTAGGATTTTAATTATCTAGGTTTTAGAGTCCAGTGGAAGAGTTTTTTCCGATAAAATAATGCGGTATAAGACCATGTGATAGGAGAAATACTGTTTCAAAGTTTAAACAAACATTATCCTCAGTGTCAAGAACAAAGTTTATCATTAGTGTCGCGATACACAGATAATAAAATATGTTGCTGTTTTTACGCAAGCATTTTTTTTTTCTTTTATTTTTAGAAATTTTTGAAATATTATCATATCTTACTTAAAATATATATTTACCGAGACACAGAAAATGACGTAATTGTCATATATGAAAACTGCATGGTAAAATAAAATTATAATTTAATTCAAATTTAAGAGAATTTTGGTACAATCAGCTCTTGATGCGCATACGATTTTTTATTTGCGTGAGAAAAAAATTATCTTCATGTGAGTCACCCGATTTGTTCCTGGGCGTAATTTTCCAATCTAGGAGCATTTAATCACCTACTTTCCTGTTTGACATTTTTTATAAAGAAATATTTTTTATTATTTTTATTTTCATTTATTTATTTTTTAAGTGAGAGTCGATAAAGTCCTCTGGATTGTAGATAAGTTCCCCTATCACAGTGGTTTGGTGATCAAAATGGGCTACTGGTGGCGTAGAGAAGAACTCTCGACCCATAGCAGTATTTCGCATGCTTTCAATATTAGCGTGTGGAAAATCATAGAAGAAAGTGCGTTAGTTTCTGTCTTGATTTACAAATAATTTTAAAAAAATTTTAGTTGAGAAACTATACGGAACTAAAAACTATATTGAATATAGTTCGAAAAGAAAACGTCGTGGAAATTTTAAAAAATATTTTCGACAAATAAATGCGAAAAATGTAAGAAAGGGGAAATATCGTAGTACACTCGTTAAAAAAAAAACATACCACCTGAATAACTTTTGATATAATGATCAAATCTTCGCGTTCTAGAAATAAATCTTTAATGACTTGAGCGGTGACCTCAAATATACTAATAAATAAGTGCAAAAGTATTTTAAGTTACGAAATCAGACACAAAAAAGTACTTTCTCTGAATAAACATACCATTTTTTATTCAATGGATTTGGATTTCTGACCTCCAAAATATATAGGGTAGCAGCAATCTGGGGAATAAGGTCCCAATAGTTTTCTCTAGAGGTCCAAAATTTTAACCCTTTATAAGGGGTTAAATACACGAAATACACGAAAAGTAAAATTAGCATTATAATGTTAATTTTACTTTTTGTGTATTTCTTTATATCTCGAAAGCTTTTTAATTGAATTGAAAAAATTTTGCACGCAATAATAAAATTCGTTTGTCCAAAGATAATTCCATGCAAAAATTAATCTTTAATAACCGAACTAAAAAATAACCATATGGCAAAATACAAATTTGAGCAAAATTGGTAGAATAGGTCCTGAGAATTCTAATTTCAAATATCTGACTTATTTGTAACCAGATATACGGGTCAAAAATCCGAATCCCTTGGAGAAAAAAAATAATCCGTTGAAGGAGAAAAAGGTACGTTTATTCAGAGAAGTTTTCGTTTTTGTGGTCTGATTTTATGACTTAAAATTTCGTCTGCACTTATTAATTATGATATTTGAGGTCACCCCCTCAAGCCATTTAGATTGTGTCCTAGAACGTGAAGATCCGACCATTAAATCCAAAAATTATTCAGGATAATCACATTTTTTTTCGCATTGTACATTCCAGAGAAGAGGGTTGTTGTTGTTAATTTACGTTGCCCTAGAGCTGCACAGTGGGCTATTGGCGACGGTCTGGGAAACATCCCGAAGGATGATCTGAAGACACGCCATCACA